TCCAGGTGTTTCCCGCCATTCGATCAGGCAGGTTGGGCATGCTGTGGTCCCATCAGCCAAGGAACGTTGACTAGCAGGAACCAAGAGGCATGCCTTCTCTGCCATAGCCCCTGCCCTCTGGAATATTCTGTCTTCAAATATCAGCATAATCCTGGCCATCTTGACCTTTTACAAGGCTGTGAAGACTTGATTGTATGCCCGACCTTGGCCCTGAGTAGGTTAAGGGCCCATTTTCTGGCTGTATTAACATCCATAGTAACAGTTTTACTTGATGCCATATATTTTAATCATATACTGTTTTAATTGTTTTTAGTTGTTTTTTATGTTTTATGATGTATGCTGCCCATAATTACTTAAGATGAACAGATATAGAAATAAAATAAGTAAATAAAGTACGAAAGCACTTAGCATTATTCCTAGCAATGTGTGTATACCAAATTCTTTCTCTATCACTTACAGACTTTGCATAACGATAAAATCCAAGGTAGTCTGCTGAACATCACACTTAGGAATATGACATGGAAATTCTTGAAAATTCCAGACCAGATTTGTCTGTTTTACCTAGAATCAGGTGGGAACCATTTTTCCCACTTTGTGTTTCTGTGCAGGAATCAGCTCTTCAATGGTTTTCATAGATCTTAGATGATGGGAAAGAAGGGATACTATCAGATTTGCAAACAACTCAGATATGGGGAGAAATACTAACACCTAAGAAGATAAGCTCAGGATTATCTTGACAATTTTAACACTGGGCCTTTGCAACAAGATGCAATTTGGTGGCTTTCAGGAAAAATCAGATGGACAGTTATAAGGTAGGTGATTTGTGGATCAACACAGCTGAGAGGGACTTCAACCTGGTTCCTCCTAGTACCAGTATAACATCCCAGCCACTATATGATTCTGATTCTTCTTTCTTATATATGTCAAAGGCAGCATATTAGAGAAAAACTGGGGCTACTGTTTTGGTCTCTCACACACGCAGAACATTTTAAATAGAATCATTTTAGCACCATACACCACCACTTCAGGGCACCAATACATTACAATAGTCACCAAAGCTAAAAGAACGTGTAGACAGTCAGAATAGAGCCATATGATGTCTTCATGCTTTATGAGCTTATATTTGTTGCTCTTGGGGAAAAAAGTATGTAGATATTTAATCTCATCCTTATGGTAGTTTTTTTTTTTTAGGTAACTACATAGAGTTCCAATAATGAACACAAGAGGTCACTGCCACACTTTCCAGGCTGGCAGCTTTTAATGCTTTGACTGATAATCAGTAAAAAAAACCTCCTATCAATGGTTAATACTTAACAGAATGTAAAATTAATGAATAACATTTACCACTAAACATGCACAAGTGCTTGCAAGTATAAGTGATTTTTTAAAGATGTATTCTACAGGTGAGTTTTATTATTTCTTTGTTGCTATTACTCTTCAGTTTTCATTCAGTGTTGTTTCCAACTCAATGTGACCCAGGGAACAGTAGTAAGAGGTATTCAGGTATGTTACCATCTTGTTATCCAAACGGCTGCATGGAATGATAATGTATAACTATCAAATCAAACCAACAAAATAAGCTGAAACAAAAGTATTTTCCCCTGGTATATGAGCAATAAAAGGAGTTTTTGGAAATAACTAATTTGCATTTGTGTGGTTGATGCCACCACAAATAGACAGCTCTGCTTTATGAGTCAGTGATCTCTGTTCCTATTCAGGTAATCCTCACTTAAAGGATCCTAACTGGGACCAACAGCATCATCACTAAATGATGTGATTCTTAAGTGAAACATCACATTGACTGTCAACTTATTGACGCAATTCTGGCAATCGCACTCGCTGTTTGTTGTTGAGAGAATTTTGTATGGTCTTTAGGCAAAGACCCATCCAAATGGAAACCCGTTCTTGGAAGATATAAGGGATTGCCTCCATTGAAACTTCCCCCATCTAGCTGACTTGCTGGCCATCACTACCCTTTTGGCTGCCCACTTACCCACTACCGCCAGTTGTCCCTGCCTCATGCATGCCGCTATTGATTGGGTCCTTCTTTTGCAATGGTACAGCTGGGGCCTTTTTTGAAACCCGCCATATAGAGCCTTTATGAAAAGAAGCCCCAGCTGGCTCATAAAAGAAGAATCCGGTTGGTAGTGGCATATAGCATGGTGACACCCACCTGTGAGCCTGCAGGACATTTCCGAGGCATCTCCCTCATATGAGGCCAAGGCGGGGGTGAACCCAACTGAGGCGATGTAGGCAATGCTAACAAAGATCAGCTGGGGGAGGGCAGTGGCAGTCATAAATTTGCCTGGGTCTTGATTTTGTTTACATGACCATGGGCATGTTGTGATGGCCAGAACAAGAAGGACTGGTCTTAAGCCCTTTGTTTAGTGCTGTTGTAAATTTGAATGGTCACTAAATAAATGATCATTAAATAAGAATTATTTATAAAGCAGTTCTTGAAAGATAATTCTATGTTTCTCAACCTATACCTGAAAGCAAAGATCAAGGTAACTGGGAATGAAAACTAATTCAGGCTTTTAATGAAGTCTAGAGATCAGTGCCTTTCTCTACTGCGTCTCCACGTATCTCAAGGAATGGTACAAAATACTCATATTGGCTTAAAAGGGAATTTAAAAAACACAAGTCTTTAGTTTAATAAATTAAATCAATGCATTTAAATGACAGTACAGTTAGTACTATTACATTTGCATTCCACTTTTCCTTTTAAATGGAAATCATGAGGGATTAATCAACAACAAATTTAGTTTTGTTTTGATGAATAAGAAAAGAAGCCTTTCAGTTTATGAATCAGAAAAGAGAGGCACAAGACCAGCACATGTCACCCTAAGGAACTTGCAAAGAAGCAGGCCAAAATTCATTCAGACCAACAAGATACACATGAACTATAATTTCTTTATTTAAAGCTTTAAAAAAAAACACCTTGTTAGTCGCAAAGATAGGCAACTATGGAACTTAGCACAAATGGGAGAAAAACATCATATCAGGAAGATGGGCAGTAGCCCTCTGTCCATCTCACAACTCTTGAGCTGAAAGTGCACTGGGTCACAAACGTCATGGGGCCGATCTCTTAAGAATCCATTCTCTGTATCAGGTAAAGAGAGCACAAAGCAGATCCTTGGGATCAACTGTTGGGAAGCAGAGGATTTAAGCTCCTTAACATTAGGGACTTCTGGAAAAAGGAAGCATCATCGGAAGGCTCTGATTGGTTGCTCAGGAACAGTCAATGCCCTTACAAGAGACGACAAAGCAGCATAGAGAATCAGGTATGGCTGGTTACAAGGAAAGCACACAACCTGGTTTTAGTAGGATCATCTAGTTTCTGCTTCCATATTGCTCTCAGATAAATCTTCTATCACACTGAGCCTGCTATGGAGGTTTTTGATAATTTTGCTTTGCAGACACTTTTTGGGTTCTTCTGGTAGTTGCCACCAATAAAATACTTTGCACCTGTCATGCCAGGTAAGAAAAAGTGTTGGCCAGACAGGACAGGAAAATCCATTCATTCTACTGTCTCTCTTCTGGATCTGGTTTAAGACAGCAACAAATGTCTGTCATAAATCTGCATTTGCACTAGTCTTTTGAAGACAATTTCCTAGAGCAATCAGAAGTTCTTGCTCAGTCAATAGATTGTTGGGCTGGGCAAATTTCAAAAAAAAAAAAATTGGAAGAAATGCTCATAAGATCACGACATATCTCTGGTCTTTGTGAAAGCAACCCTCTTTTTAGGACTGATATTGCTGCTTTAAGCGTCACATAGAGTTGAAGTTAAAGCAGAAGAACTTTTAATTATACAAATACAAGCTATAAGTTTTAAGGAAAAGCAGAAAAAGGTTGTGCTTGCAGCAGATTGAGTTTAAGTTTCCCCTGACATTTTTGAAATGCGCACAGCACTCCTAACCAATTCTCGAGGACTTGCACAAGGCTTTGCCTTCTCAGAAAGTTCTGCCTTGGGCTGTATTCTGTAGTCTTTTCCATTCTCAGACAGGATGCTAGTTTGAACACAGACAATTGCACTTATTAAGTTAAGCCCCAATCATAGAATGGGAGATTCCAGATTGGCAAATGTTTACATAATTGATGAGGGTGAAATGAATGACCAATATGCACCACTTGATTAACTACCTCATTAATATACACACAGATAGGATCTTGAGCTAACAAGAGCAATTTTTGAGGTTTTAAATCCCCCTTAGAGGGATCCATCATGGAGCAGACTATGAAGAAATATTCTTTCTATGTCCACTGTTGTTTAACCGCAGGGATGGGCTTTGCACAGCATGCTATATACAACACTCTAAAAATGGACCAAGTTGGGATTAAAGTGAATGGAGCCATTTTATTTTTTATTTAGTCGTAGGGTGGGTTTTTTTTTTTTTGCAGTTCCACAACCTATCAGGAGGGGGAGGTAGGACACCGAAGATAACTTTTAACAATAAACTTCTGCAAGTTTTCATGCATTTTCATGCACAGCTTCCTGTGTCTTCCATCAATTTCAAAGTCACACAAGTCCTTCTACTTTGTTATGGCCACTCTGTTAAAGCGGGGGGGAGGAGGAAGCTTTTGGGGGACCAAAACATCTGACTTGCTGCTCTTTCGATTTAAATAAATAAATAAATAAATAAATTGCTTCAAATTTAATGACTGAATGAATTGGAAAAGATTTAGGGGACGGAATACAGAAATGGTTACAAGGCAGTAGGAAGATTTGCGGGGTTGAAGAAGCAGGAAACAGCCACCGAGGCTGTTGTGGGAAATGCAACAATGGGCGAAGGTGGGAGAGCTAACCCTAACATGGGCAACCTCCACCCTCCACCTTGCCTTTGGCATTCTTGCTTTTAACCTAAGGAATACATTCCTTGACTCTTATCTCTTTGGGTGAGGACCTGGATTCAAGGTGTTACAATTACCTGTTAGTAACGGAAAAAGAGGGAAAAAAAGATGCACAATGAGAACAATTAATCAATGGAACAGCTTGCCTCCTGGAGTTGTGGGTGCTCCGTCACGGAGGTTTTCAAAAATAGACTGGACAACAATTTGACAGGGATGGTATAAGGGCCCGCTGTCTTGAACAGGGGATTGGACTAGGTCTTCCTAGGTCTATTTCTATTCTATGCCCCAGCCATGAAAATTTGTGGATAAGGTGCTGAAAAAATACCATCAAATCTCACTAAGAAAGAACCTTATTGTGCAGATACTTTTCTCCCCTCTCCAATTCTGAAATTTACAAATCTTCTGAAATCTGATTTAACTGTCTGTACACTACTAAAATTCTTGTTCTCGTAACCTTTGACTAGGTGGGATGGTTCCTCACAGGGAACTTAAGTTTTTTGAACTAAGGTACCTCAAATGAGCTACCTTATAGAATGTATCCAAAATCCAGGGTCTATGACTTCTATGGAATTGAAATTTGTGAAATTTTATAAAACATAATATATACTGTCTTAAAACATTCCCTGTCAGTAACTCTATGACTGTGCTGTACAGTTCAATATGGGTTACTTTCAAGGCGGACACGTCTCTGAATATATCCCTGAATTTTTACGGCCTGACCTGTTCAAGTACACTAGAAGCTGCACCACTGTTAAAAGGCATTGAGAAATGTATTAAGGAAATCTCTCTGAAACAATATTTCTGAATGCGGTAAGGAAATATCTCTGAAACAACCCTTAGGTTGTTATCGGTTGTCTAATATAATCACAGAATGGCAGTTCTGAATGGATCCCAAGAATAATCTAGTTCCGTGTTTTCCTATCTCAGCAATTTAAGATGTGTGGACTTCAACTCCCAGAGTTCCCCAACCAACAGGAGGTCAGATTTGCTAAGCTTGAGAAACAGTGATCTATTCTAGTCCAATCTCTGCAGGGAAGCCAATTGATTAGAAAGCCTGCTATAAAACAAGGAAAGCAAAAAAGGGGAAACTTTGTACATGCATATTAAAAGTGTGGCTTATACATTGGGTTAATCTACATTTTGCTTCACCCATGGTTGGCTGAAAAAGCCACACTGGAATGAACCACAGGTACTAGCAAACCATAAATCGCCCCTGCATTTTCAGCCTGTGGGCTGTATGTGGCCCGGCAAGCAGCCTTGAAGGTCCACTAGCATTTTTGAAAAGGTCAATGAATTCACTGCCACCAAAAAAGCACCATCCTGAAGGATTTCCTGTTGCTTTCCCAAAAGACACACTGCCAAGTGCCCTCCAGGCTTTAGTGATGTTGCCAACAACCAGCCTTGCTGCCACTCTGCTAGCTGATTGATGCATCGGGTATTCTTACGCAGCTTGCAATTATTTTTAATTTATCAATGTGGTCCTTTCTTCTCTACAAGTTGTGCAGGCCTGCCATAAATTAGGGTTCACAAACCCTAGTGATTGTATTTGTACATCATACTAAGTTCTAAGGGGATTCTTATGATTTAGAGTCGGAGTAACAGAAAATCTCTAGCGGAATGCAATCCAGGGTTTTTTCTGCACCACAAAATATCCAGAAAAGTCATAATGACAATAAGGCACGATATATCCTTATTTGCAGTGGACTTGCAGACTATCCAGTACATCTATATTCATTGCACCAGGTGCCAAGTGTTTATCATAAATAACTGATGCCTTTATGTTTCAAACAAAGGCAATGTTTACAGATGACCAGAGAGTAAGCGAAGGTTATATCTCTTCTTCCTCCTCACTCGTGGGTCCATCTGGCTGGCTGGCTGCCTGTTCAGCCTGTTGCTTTACATACTGGGCTTTTAGTTGCTCCAGTTCTCTCAGCTCAGCTTCCACTTTTAATCTGTGCACCCCGCGTCGATTCTGAAGCAGCTTCATGGGAAACGGATTCATATCACCAAAGGCGATGCTCATCAGCTTTCTGGAAGAGGAGAACTACATGAGCCAAACAAGAAATAGAAACCTGGTAACTCTGGCTGAACATACATTTGGGAGAGAAATATCCTTCTTCAAAATAGAGCAGCTTTGCAAAGTGCCTGTCCAAAGATTAACATGTTTGTGCTGTTCTGCCAAAGGCCTCTCTTAGATCACACTAATTTAGATTTCCTGAGAAGCTTTTTTTAAATATGCAGTTAATTGAAGCTTTATATTAGACAAAACATCTGCAGCAAAGTACGATGATTGCCAAAGTGACACCTGTGTGATGACATTATCTCTCAAATGCTGTTATTATGTGCTTGCATTCTGACATACTGCAAGTACGCGCAGCACGGTATTTGTGAGATGCCATCGTACTGTCATCATTATTAATCTCCCTTTGCTATATCCTCAGAGACACCCATGATATTAGATTTGGTGGTCAATCAAATTAGAAAAACACAGAGACAAAGATTTAGAGATCAGAAATACCGAAACTCAAAACCCATTGGTGAGCATATTGAAATGAGAAGGAAAAAGGATATTAACAAAGTCTATTTACTTGATTGGTGCTCAAGCATCCTTTTCACATCATACAAGTAGAAGCCCCTTCCTTGGAGTTAGTGAGTTTGCTGTCTGACCATTGTGTTATTTCCAGATTGGGCAACAACTCAAGGAATTAGGGCTGGTGCGGCTTAATAAAGGAATAGAAACTCATTTTATACCAGGTGTCAGCCTGAAAAGTTCCCGTTTGCCTCAACACTATGTTATTTAAACTACTTGATGTGTGTTGGTTTTCCTGCACTGCCTTTGGCTTCTAAAAACATTCTTACCTGCCATCACAGATAGTTTTGGTGAAAAAACGAAGATATTGATAGAATTCCAGATTGTCCTGAATCTTCAATATTGCTTCTTCATTATATTTAAAAATTGCGAGTGCATAACGGAATATCACCTGGGGCAAAAAGAAACTTGATTGATTTTATGTAGTATATTACTGGAAGGATGTAGTCATACCTGAATAATTTACAAGGATAGTAAAGATTCAATAAACATGTCCAGAAAATTGGTCTAAGTTGGTCTAGCTGCTGGGAAATATATGAAGACACTTAACCAACTTTGTGGATGAGTATAACTTTCTTACCTTTGCACCTTCATAGAGGAAAGCATCCCAAACTTGGAGCAGAAGATCACTGATAAGACTGTCGACAAAAACAACCAGGAACCAGTTAAAGGTCACTAAGGACAGGTCAATTTGAAGTTGATCTAAGTGTGCTGTCAGCCTGGGAAGCTTCTCTGATAAGATGTCTTTGAAAACTCTTTGATCTACCTGGATTTGGCAAAATATCAATAGTGATAAGCACTTACGTTAGAAAGGCTATTCTTCATTTCTATGGTCTCACAGGTTGATAATTCTTATAGAGAAGAAGATCTATTTGGAAAAATGAGTTCTTTTAGCTGCTCCTGCCTTTTTAAATATTATTTCCAGCACTTTGAAACAAACATACAGTCTTACACTGTAGCTATTCCAGTAAGATTGGCTGTAGTGTATGAGATCCATATACAGTATATGGGTCAAAAGCCCTAATTGTGAGAGGGATCTTGGAGTTCTAGTGGACAATCACTTAGATATGAGCCAATAGTGTGCAACAGCAGCCAAAAAAGCAGTGCAATCCTTGGTTGCATACAAAGAGGGATTGAGTCATAATCACGGGAAGTATTAATACCGCATTATAAAACTTTAGTAAGACCACATCTGGAATACTGCATCCAGTTTTGGTCACCATATTATAAAAAAGATGCTGAGTCTTTGAAAAGTGTGCAGAGAACAGCAACAAAGATGATTAGAGGCCCGGAGACTAAAACATACAAAGAACGGTTGCAGGAATTGAGTATGGCCAGTCTAGAGAAAAGAAGGACTGGGGTGACATGATAGCAGTGTTCCAATATTTGAGGGGCTGCCACAAAGAAGTGGGCGGAGGGTCAACCTATTTTCCAAAGCACCAGAAGGCAAGACAAGGAACAATGGATGGAAACTAATCAAGGAGAGAAGCAACCGAGAACTAAGGAGAATTTTCCTAACAGTGAGACCAATCAACCAGTAGAACAGCTTGCCTTCAGAAATTGTGGGTGCTCGTATCACTGGAGGCCTTTAAGAAAGAGACTGGGGCAGCCACTTGTCTGGAATGGTATAGGGCCTCCTGCTTGAGCAAAGGGTTGGACTAGAAGACCTCCAAGGTCCCTTCCAACTCTATTACTCTGTAGATCCTTCCAATAGGTTCTGCTAGAGTATAAGCAATTCTCAAAATTACTTATTTCTCACAGTATAAAATTCTGTAATTATCCTGTTCCTCGGCACAGAACGGAGCTCAGACTTACTTGTGAGCCTATTAATGTGTTGCTGTAGTAATCGTGAGGCATTAAATTATTTGTGATATGAACTAAGCACCAGAAAGCTTCCTCCTCCTCTTCTAGGATCAGCAAGGCAATGGCAACCAGTCTAGGATGAGTAAGACACCATTATAACTAAAGAAGGTAAGCATATTACACATTAAACCTGTGACACCTCAGATGGTTACAAATCTGAATTTTCAATGTTGAAAATAACAGCAAAATGGAAATAACAACAAAAAACGCTAGAGACCCAGAGGATTCTTTTAAAAACTTTGCTACATTTGAAATGAAGAAGTATAAGAAACGTAAGCAGGCACCTGTTCAGTCCTTGGCAATAGCCGATGGTTGGATTTTGCCAGGAGAATGCAAGTAAGACTCTTCTGAGTTTGGGAATAAGCTGGGAAGTCGGTGACATAAAATGTCTATTGTTGGGCAGCGTGCGATGCAGATCCAGTTCAATTTGCTGGGAAGCTGGGTGCTCAGCATTTTCACACTTCTTGAGTAAATTGTGGTAATGACCAGCAGAGCGTGTTTGCTTTAACCGGTGGCTGATAATCCACCTCCAGACCCTCTGGCGATGCACTGCTGGGACACCACACCGCAATAAGCTTTTTAGCTCCGAGGAGGGAGTCAGTTCCCCAAGGTTATTCCACCGCTCAGAGAAAGGTTTCTCTGTGGTCTCCTTGTTCAGATTGGTGCATTTGATCTCCAGGGCCTGGATTTTGGCCAAGAGCTTCCAGTCTGCAGCTTCATATTCAGGAACTGTCATAAACCCATAATCATCATATTGACTAAACAGTGGAAAAAAACAGAATTAGGGAAATGACAAATTATTAGGCCATGCTGGTGGAGAAAATGTGAATTGTCTTGAAGCATATTGTACAAATATTGTAACAATGTTTTTAAAAAAATGGAGGTGTATTTTGGAAGCCTAGCATTTGATAATTGTGCACTTAAATAAAAATTAGTCCTTACAGAGTAATGATTGTTTTTTTAGCTTTTACAATAACACAGACCAAAAAACTCTGAAAAAAACAAGGCAAGCAAAGTGATCTACATTTACCTGCTGTTTGAATACACAAGTAAAGACCAGCAACTAATGCTAAGTTATCTTACTTCAACTTAACCTACACTATTGCAAAAGCAGAATAAGGACATGTAGCATTATCAGTGGACCATCAGTTGAAAGAATGAATCTGAAATTCTTGCTTCTAGCCAAAGTGAGCCTGGGACAAATACGAACTATCCCATCTGCAAACTCTCGTTGCTTTCATTAGAATGGTGGAAGTAGCATTGTGGCATTGCGCTGGAAGCTCCACCCCCTTTGGAGGGGTGCACAAGGTTATAAGACAGGAAGAAAAGCCCCCAATCTTGCTTTCTTCCCCACCCCACTGAAGATATCACTGATCCATGCCATGCCTCTTTCACAAATGGTCCTATTAGTAATTTACTTGACTGGGCTTAGCTGAATAGGAATCAGGGTTTCTTCCTTCATATCCCATTGCAGTGCCTCTTCAATGAGTTCTGTCACCAATGCCATGTGCTCTTTCGCCAAATCCGGCAGCCCCTGAAAGGTCCGTAGAGACATCAGGTACTTGCTTTCAATCTGGCAATTGTGGGCTTGCAGTTGAGCACACTGCCGTACAAAGAGAGAAAAAATGGTTGTCAAAATAGAGGATTGTTCCATCTGCCTCTTGGATTCATTCTGAAAGTGTTCTGATTTTGAAGTTTTGTTTTGTTTTTTTTAAAAAAATAAAGTAACCATCTACAGATTAAAGTAGGGAGTATTAAAATCATTTGTTTGAGACAGGAATCTGATCTTGTCAGTATAAATTCATGCGTCTTGTAGTAGTTCAATTGACCTGTATATAGTTATGTAAAGGTAAAGGATTCCCCTTATCTCAGAGGTCTCCAAACTTGGCAACTTTAAGACTTGTGGACTTTAACTCCCAGAATTCTGCTTCAGAAATGCTGCTTCAGAACAAACCTGGGGAGGAAGGAGGAGAGGGACACCTGTGAATTCTGGGAGTTGAAGTCCACAAGTCTTAAAGTTGCCAAGTTTGGGGACCCCTGCCCTACCTAGTTGGGTCTGACTCTAGGGGGCAGTGTTTATCTCTGTTTCCTAGCTGAGGGAGCCAACATTATCCAAAGACATTTCCATGGTCATGTGGCCAGCATCGCTATATGCCAAGGGGGGCATAGAATGCTATTACTTTCACACCGAAGTGGCATTTACCCACTTGTGTTTGCATGCCTTCAAACTGCTAGGTGGGCAGCAGCTAGGGCAGGAATGGGAGCTCACCCCATCCCGCAGCACTTAAGTCTGAAACTGCAACCTTCCAGCTGACAAGCCCAGCTGCTAGGCCATTGCACCCCTCATATAGTACGTAGTATACTTATATGTTGTTTTGCATATTTATTAGATGGGGATTATTTTTCCCCCATTAGTGTTGTCATTGCAAGAAATCTGCAATTTTGTTAACCTTTTCATTATTTCATGATATTTTTGAAGAGGAAGTGATTGTAAGGCCTTCTGAGATGAATACATGGAAGGTATTGCAAAGACACACATGCTGCTAGCTTTGAAACATTTTGTCTGCTGTGGGAATTCAATAGGGGTTGGTGCCAGTCAGCTTCAGGAATGGTGAAAAAAATTCTGCCCATGCCATATTTTCCCAAAAAGTAACAACTGCAGCGTGTTACTTTTCTTCATAAGAATTTAGCAATCAGCCACTGAATTGGTAGCATCATTGGGTTAAATTAAGGATTCTCTATTTTCCACTGATCATCCCATCCATTAATCAAGACTGCTTTTAACTGCATTGCCTCATTTTGGATGTGAAGCTAGGGGCCTACTTAGATGATAATCCATAGTATCGTCGAGTAGGAAGTAATCAGGTCCAGCCCCCTGCTCAGTGAAGGCTCCTTGGTTGTCCGTCAGACAATCTCAGATGACCATTCAACCTCTTTTTGAAGATGATAGCTCATATCATCAGTTTATGAGGCTAAGCAGTTGATACGTGGACTTTATATTGATGCTTTAATCACAGAATTATAGGGATGGGGGGAGACAGGCATTAGAAACTTTCCAAAGATGGGTGTTTCTTACCATCATGAACCTCCTATACTCAATTATCTACTTAAGTCTCCATTGGGTTGTGCCTTTCAACGCAAGTCTGGTTCTTCTCAGGACTGCAATTTTTGTAAATTAAAAGCTTAATTCACTGTTCTTTACAATTTGATGGTTTTCAGTTTACATTCACCTAGCTGTTAATATGTTTTTTTTTTCAAAAGGTATGCTCTTTTTGAACACACCTCCCCTAAATATATATTTTGTGTTTATTTGTGAATAAAAAGTAATGGCTTTTTAGCAGACTCATTATTTATTGTTAACTACGTTACAACTGGAATTATTTGAGTTAACTGTAGCAGCAATTTGATGGCAGGTTTATTTTGTCTATCTACATCTAGGGAATCCTGAAATGTTGCAATCACTCTGAACCAATCTACACATTGTTTGTGGGTAAAATATTTTTTTTCCATATCTCTGAATTCACAGTGAACCCAAAATTGGGGTGAAGCCAGTCATGCGGCCCTCCTCAAACTGTATCATATGAACAGTCACATGCCAGTGACATGAGAAATGAGCAAATAAAAAGAGTTCCCAAAGTTTCTGTGTTTGACAGACAAGTAGAAAACTTCCTATATATTTGGAAATCAAATTAAAAATGGAAGAAGAAAATCAAGACACCATTGGGAGTCAAATAGCCTTGCTCCTTACCTTCATCAGAAGGTTTTTTTCTCTCTGTGCCACAGTGCTCCATATTTTGCTAACTTGGTGGACTTCGGAGTTCAGAAATTGGTTCTGAGTCTTGTATGCCTCAAGATCATCCTGAGAAAAATACATGAAAAAGCATGTAAAGTAACCCTCACCCTGAAATGTTTATGCAATTAGGTATAAATTGATGGACACTGGGATCGCAACAAGGAAGAAATGAATGAATGAATGAATGAATGAATGAAGGAAGGAAGGAAGGAAGGAAGGAAGGAAGGAAGGAAGGAAGGAA